TCAACAAAGCAGCCCTGGAGCTGTGCCAGGAGCAGAGGCCATTGCAGTCCGACTTCCTGCACCAGATATGGTAGGTGCTCCAGCCAGTAGAGCCGCCCCATCTCTCCTTAGTGGCATCGGGCCAGGGGTCTTGGGCAGGCAGGGCCAGGACTCGGGTCTGAGCTCCCGTTGAACTCAGGTTGCTACAAGATGCTGCCAACATTCCAGGCTCTGGAACCTGCCATAGCAGCCCCTGAAGCTGCCTGCTGCTCTCTGGGGAGCAGTCACAGCAGAGTAAAATAAAAACCTTGTCTTTTTTTTTTTTTTTTATTCTGCTTCTTTCCTCGTTCTTTCTCAATGAAAAAGAAACTTTTTTTTTTCTGTCTGTTCAGAACTTGCTTGGATAGCCTTGGGGAGCCTTTTGCAAGGTCCTCAAAACACAGCCCCAGGAGCCTCATGCTGGAGGTCTTATGCAAGGTTAAGCCCCTTCAATGGAGCTGGACCCAAGTCCAGCCATAGTATCAAGCTGGAGTTTAGACTGGAATAGGGCTGAATTAACGCAGGCCTCCTGACCCTAGTCCTGGGCTGTTTTTTCTTGGCTGCCACCCAAGGGAAGTCAAAACCCCATGGGAGTGCTTGCATGGGAGGCGATGAGCTTCTGACTGCTTGGGGGTGTGGCATGTCCATGGTAGTTCCTGGCACCACGGTCTTTGAAGGGAGGGAGCTGAGCCTCCGCAGATTCAAGGACAAATGAGGAGTGATGGCTTTTCTCCAGTATGTCTTGCCCTCTAGTTTGCAGCTGTGGCAAGATGTGATTGACAGCCTGGTGAGCTATTCCCTGTGGCTGAGAGCTCTGCTGGGCCTGCCGGAGAAAGAGACCATCTATTTGGATGTGCCAGAAGAACAAGGTCAGACCTAGTGCTACCACACTGCTGTGTAGTCTTCCCCATCCCTCTGCCTGGACGGCAGTGGTACCTCAGCCATTTGTATCCCTGTGGTGGAAATGCTGTTAGATTGAACCCTAGGAGGCCCCTGCTACTCTTCTATCTACAGCCAGGATCTGGGACCCAGAAGCTACCTTAGCAACCACCTTAGTTCAGTCCCCTCATTTTACAAGTGGAGTCCCAGAGAAGTTCAGTGACTTGTCTGTGGCCATACATGGGGGAATGGTGGAGTTGGGACTAGAACGCAGGTCTCTTCCCTCTGCCCCACAGCCCTGCTCCCCAAGGTCACATGCTTGGATGAGGGACTCAGAGAAAGCATGTCCTCATAGGGCTCTCTTGGAGGCCTGTGGGGATTCTCTGAAAGCTGCAGAGGGCACTGCCAGGGTTCAGGGCCATTCCCCTCTGCTTCCTGTCTCATCTCTTGCATCAGCACTTAACTGTGGGATCGGCTAGGCCATGGGCGCTTGCCATATTATCTTCCACTCACCTCCCATAGATCAAAAATCACCTCCCATCATGGAAGTGAAGGTGACTGCTGGGAGAGTGGGGAAGGAGGAGCGGAGAGGGGCAGCCCAGGAAAAGAAGCAACTGGGAATCAGAGACAAAGAGGACAAAAAAGGAGCCAAGTTGCCAGGGAAAGAGGCATGCTGGGACACGGTCCAGGCCTGGGGTGGGGTTGGGGAGGGCACTGGAGTGGCCATAATGCCCCAGCTGTCCCAGTGGGCTGCTGTTGGGAAAGTCCCGGACCCACCTCAGCAGCTCTGGAAGGCTGTGCTTGTGTCCATGTCTCCACGCAGGACCGGCTCAACAGCAAGAAACAGAAGGCAAAGGAAGACAAGAAAGTAATGAAATCTGCAAGTCGGGAAATTTCCTTGGAAGATCCTGCCCCTGACACCACCATCCCCTTTCAGGAGCCCATAGACCCCCACGTCATGGAGAAGTACACGCAGAGGCTGCACACTGAGGTGAAGGGAACAGCCAGCAGCCGTCCCTCCCCTCGCTCCCACCTGCCCCGTTCACAAACCAGAGTGCCCGCTCTATGGGTGATGGAGGCAGAGCTGCCTTGTGAAGGGCATTCTATGTGCAGGACAGGCCTCGTGCATGAGTGACACTCCTAGTGCGAGTATGTGGGGTGACGAGCCCCATGGAAACAAGAAGACTGACCAGGGTTGGGGCAATGGGGAAGGCTGGGTGGGGGCAGGGTGGGCCTCAGTGAGAAGGTGACTCCAACAAAGACTTCGATCCAAGGAGGTGAAGACGGACCAGGTGACATCTGGAAAAAGTGCCCAGGCAGGGGGAGCAACTAATGCAGAGGAGGGAGTGGCCAATGTGGCTGGAGGGAGGGGGGCCACAGAGGGGCAGCAGGTCATGTGGACTTCGATCCAAGGAGGTGAAGACGGACCAGGTGACATCTGGAAAAAGTGCCCAGGCAGGGGGAGCAACTAATGCAAAGGAGGGAGTGGCCAATGTGGCTGGAGGGAGGGGGGCCACAGAGGGGCAGCAGGTCATGTGGGGCTTTGCAGGCCATTGTGAGGACTTGGGATTTTCCTCAAAATGTGAAATGATGCAGGACTTTGAATAGAGGGGTGATATGGTCTGACTCAGGCTTTAGAAGATCTTTCTGGCTGTCATTTGGAAAACAGAGTCTAGGGGAACAGAAAGGAAGGAAGCCCTCCTCATCCTGCTGCCTCTTCTTCCTTAGGTGTGTCCTGGCAGACGTGTTCCTTGGGAGAACCCACGTAGGGTGCATTTCTATCGGTTGTAAAGGTTTTGAAACACTGGAGAGACTTCATCATGAATCTCTAAGAATAGATCATGATGAACTTAGGTTTTTTGTTAGTTTGTTGTTTTGTGGGGTTTTTTGTTGTGGTTTGTTCTGGAGAGAAGGTCCACAAAGCCATGTTCGATATGTCAACGTGCCCAGTGACGATGCCTTATCTTTCTCCTATGCAGACAGCTGGGGAGCTGGGATTACGTAGTGCAGTGTGGTAACACTCCGGATCTCATTTGATCAGAAGCTCCATTTGCTACTGGTGACACCACTGAGACTTCTGATGGTCTGAAGGGCTCTGAGGACCCATGGAGATAGACTTCCTTGGCTCTTTGAAATGAATCAACTTGCCTAGGCTTGTGTGGTCCAGCCCCACTGGAGGACTTAGTCTTGGAGACCTTTTAGTATGTGGATCTGTGATCTTACAGGAAGGAAAGTTGGCCTCTGGGAGGCCAGAATAGAATTGGGGCTGAGCACAAGACCACCCCAACGGACTAAATGGGCACAGCTCCCTAGGCTCCCTAGATTTGCCCCTTTGACGTCTCTAGGCTCTAGTGCCCCTATATTTCAAAGGCACCAGTGCAGGATTACCTCCCCAGACTGATTTGAAAGATGAAACTATTTGCAAAATCAAAGTTCTACAGAAATCTCTCACAACTTTGTTTTTTTCCCTCTCTAGATGTTCTCTAGTAGCTCGGTTGATGTATGGGTGCTTTCCACAAAGCAAACTTTTGCCTGTGATGTCTGTCCCATTCTTCCAGGTCTATGGGCTGCTGGACACCCTGGTGAGTGACCTGATGGTCCTGGCTGATGAGCTCAGCCTCATAAAGAATATCGAGGAGCCTTGTGTCTTTTAACCTGACTTGGCCCAAGCAACCCACAGAGAAACTGGTTAACAAACATCAATAAAGAACCTTTAGGTTTCTGCCACTTCTTTGTGCCTCTGTGTCTTGGATGTTGGATCTGGATGAAGTCACCTTGTGGCCCAGGTCCTCCCATGTCCCATCTGCCTTCAGACTCCCTTGCTCCCAATTTCCTGGAGCCACCCTGCAGCAGGGGAGACAGACACACATGGGGAGGTGATGTGAGGGATGACGCGCAGAAGAGCAAGTTGGTAGCAGGACCAAGAATGAGGTGACAGAACAGAGTGTCACCCCTTGTAGTCCCTGCCCCTGGTCTTCCTTGGCCCACACTTTTAGGGTCAGTCTTCCTGGAGCCAGGTCTTCCCAAAGATGACAGTGAGAGTAGGTGGGGAACTAGACCCATGGGACCTGACTCCCTGAGATCCTCCCACTTCAGCTGGGTCCCAGGGCCCCACCCCAGGCCCTGGAGGTCATGCTCACCACACCTCTTAAATCCTAGAGCCCAGACCCCCTTGTCCTTGGCCAGAGGTTATTATTTCGGATTCTAGTCTGTCTTACCCTCCTCGTGTGAAATCATCTGGCCTTGAGTCATTGTTTTGCATCAAATACAGCTGCTGGACTTCATGCTCCCTCCCTTGCTCAGGGGAATGTGGATTGGGCTAGAAATGGCTCTTGGAAAGAAAGGTGCTGTCAGTTCAAACTCAGCGCCACCACTGTTTTCTGTCCATAATAGCCATTTGGGGCTGTGCTTCCTGTGTTGAGTGGGCTCCAGGTGCCCAGAGTTTGAAGAACATCTTTGCTGATGGGGGTGGACTTATTGCCTTTCAGTGCTGATGGAGTAGAAAAGGTGAGGGTGGGAGGCTGGGTGAGTGGCCACAGGCTCAGTGCCCCTCGGGTTTACATTTGGTATTTCTGATAAGGTCCTCAAGCATCCTCTAGTTAAGATGGGAGGAGGAAGTTTGGAGAAAGGAGGACGCTCCATCCGTGTGTAGGAGAGGCACAGAGGGGGCTATGCTTGGGTCCCCAGTGGAAGGCAGTAACTCCACCAAAGGGCCGGCACTAGGAAATGGTCCTGCCTTCCCCTTTAATGTCCTCCTGGCCCAGAGGAAGAAGGTGGAGGTGGTGAACCCCTCCCCTCCGGCCTGTTTCCTGTTGAGGAGGCAGGGAAAGGGTTAACTCCCTGCAGGGTGGGAGTGGGTCGCCAGCATGCCTGTGGCCATGGCTGTGGCCGGCAGGCAGCGTGGCAGCGTGGCGGTGGTCGGCAGGCAGGCCTCCCACCTCTGAACACAACACACCACTGGCCGGCAAGCAGGAAGGGGTTAACACACCCAGCGCTTCCTCCTGTGTCCTGTTACTGCTGAGGCGGACCTGCCAGGCCAGCTGAGCAACTTTCCTCGGAGTGCTGCTGCTGGCTGACTGTCGTTTGGCCGGTGTCTATGCTGTCCATTCCGAGGACCCTGCATCTGCCCTACTGAGTGGTCTGAGCCTCCTGGGGGAAGGTGGGTCTCAGGGACGAGGGTCCATGGTGGATGGCTCTGGAGACGCTCCCGAGGCTGTGCCATCCCCTGCCACACAAGTCAGAGGGTCACTGCAGAGTCTGCTCGGCCAGGGCTGGGGCCAAGGGAGCCCGCACTGGAGGTAAGCTTCCTCCTGGGGTCCCTTCCTCGCGTGGGCTTGGGGCTTAGTCTCTTTTCCAGGTGCAAGGGAGGAGGGCTGGGAGGGCTGGTCCACAGAGCACCTGGAGGCTTCTTACCTGCATCTCTCTCCCTCCCTGCGACCCCCAGAAAGGGCCTCACTCCTCATCCCAAGACTCCGCTTATTTGGTGGCATCTTAGCATCTTTCCCCACAGACTCTTGCTCATCTCTGCTGTTCCCCCCTTTTCAGCCCCTGATGCACCTCTAGCCTCACGCAGCCCTCACCCCACTCCAGTGCCCTCAGGACACAGCCACCCCGGGGCTGAGGAAGTGGACAGAAGTGTAGAGCTAGAGCTCACTCCCCTGTCCCTCCAGCAACAAGAAAGCCAATGCCACTCCCCCCACTGCTCACGCTGGACCTGATTGGGGGCAGGGGTAGGGATGAAAGCTGGAGCCTGCCTTCACAGAGGACAGGAGGGGGTGCGGCTGGTAGGGGCACACAGACTTCCAACAAACTCGTGCATGTGTGACTGGACAGATCTGAGGATGCCATCTGCTTCCTCAGTCCTGAGAAGAGCAGCCCCACCCCTGCACAATCCTCCTTGGGACCCTATAAGTAGGGGAGAGCTGACACCCTGTGGGCCCTTCTCCCGATCCCCAGCCTGCCTGTCTCTCCTTGCCCCCTCCTGCCCCCCGCCTGGCCTGCCTTCTCCCTCATCTCTGAACTGGCCTCTCAGGCCCTTCTCAGTGTCCTTCGCTCCACCTGACAGGGTCTGGCTCAAGGTCACTGCAGTAATTCCATACCGGGCTACCCGGGGCTACTGCTGCCACCGCTGCCACCTTATCGGCTGCTGGGTTTCTGTTTCACTCCCTTTTATTTCTGGGCATACTGCGTTCGATAAAACCCTTTGCTTGTAACCCCGCTGGCAGGGCTCCAGCCGCTCCCTTCCGCACTCCCTCCTGTCCTCCTCCCCTCCACGCTCCCTCGGCCTTACCCTGCCCCCTCTTCCTCCCTACCTTGTCCCTTCAAACTCCAGGAGAGGAAGGTCAAAGCACCTCTCCGTGTTTCTGATCGCCCTCCCCCCAGCTCCAGCAGAGGTGTGCAGAGAATGCCCACCTGCTAGGAGAGAAGTCTGGGCCGGAGCTGCCGGGCCCCTCCCACTAAGGCGACTGCCCCCACCCCAGCCAGGCAGGAGGGCCAGGGAAGCCAGGCCCAGGCAGGGCTCTGGTGGAATCACAATGCCCGACTGGTTCTGCCAGTTCCAGTGGCCAGCAGGGAGGGGCGTGCATGGGGGTGGCTTTGGTGTACAATTATTCCCCTTCTCCACTCTGCCTGCCACTGGGGAGGTGAAGGCAGGTCTGAGTCACTAGTGAGGAGGAGGCAGGCATTAAACAAGTTGTGGCCACCGTGGCATTCCCACAGAAGGCCGGAAAGACAGACAGCAGACAGAAGGTAGGCAGCTCTTTTGCCTGGCACGCTCTACCTTGCCGGGCTCCCACAGGACCCAGCCCTCTGGGCCTATGTTCTCCCAGACACCTGGGCCTCGAGGAAAACTGCCAAGGCCTGTGGGGCTGCTTTGAACGGAGCCCAGCATTGGCAGGGCTGGGGTGGAAGGAGAGTGGAATTGAGCGGGGGAGGCAGGACAGCCTCCTGATTCCGGCCTTCTGGCAGCCCAGGAGCCAGCTGAGGCACAGCCAGGCTGGGGACAGAGGCACGGGAATGGTGCTGTCGGGGACTCTGCTTTTACTTTCTGACAGGGTCTTGGGAGGACCTTCCTCTGTCTTGGGCCGGGTCCTGAGGCTGAGGATTTTAGCGGGCTGGCCCTGATCCTCCCTCTGCCGGGGTATCAGAGGTCTACTATGTGTCCAGGGCCTTGGGGGCTTGGAGAACCCAGGCTGTCCCTACTTTCAGGGAGCTTCCATTCTGGTGGACAGGGTGGGACTGAGACAGTCAGATGAATTAATTACCAAACTGGATGACACTGACAATAAGTATCTGGAGACCTAGGTGTTAGTCCCAGCTCTGCCACCTACACACTGTGTGATGTGGGCAGGTCACATCCCCTCCCGGCCTCAAAGCTCCCCTGTGTGCAGCGGGGTGGTGAGGGTGGGAGTGGCAAGATCTCTCTGAGAGGCAGTCACCCCCAAATGCTCCTTTCTCTCCTGCCTCCTGGCCTGGCTCACAACATCCTCTCCGAGCTATCCTTGCTCACCTTGCTGGTTCCCTCCTCTTCATCCTTCCCTCTGCGTCTTGGATCTCAGCTCAGTCACCACCTCCTCCAGGAAGTTTCCCCTGATTTTCCTTGCTTGGGTCTTCCTGGGCTCTTCTGCACTCCCACACTGGACTGCCATTGTCTTTACCCTCTCACCAAATGTAGGTGTACCAGGACATGTGTCTGCGTGGCACAGTGCCTGGCTCAGAAAAGGACCCCAGGAAATAGGTGTTGAATGAATCTAACTACAGAAATTAACAATATGAGAGAAGGATAGTGATCTGAAAAGCCAGAAAGGATAGGTCTTAAACTAGATCCTGGCAGAAACAGAGCAGGTTACCAAGCAGAAGCAAGGTGGTGGGCATTCCTGGGGTCATGTTAGTGTCCTCGTTGAGGCCAAGCACTCTCGGGTGGGGCTGCCTGGGGTCATACTGGCCACCCACTTAACCAGCTCTGTGATCTTGGAAAGTCATTTAATTCTTCTCTGAGCCTCACTTTCCCCGTCTGTGAATGGAGATAATACCAGTGTCTCTGTGATGTGACTGTGACTAGATGCACACGTGAAGCTAGAAGTGCCTGCTGAGTGATAAGTCAAATAAGAAAAATAAAAACAAGTGCCTGCTGAAGGCTGTTCCTGGCAGCAGGGACTCTATAGCCAGGACTTATTTAGTTGGTTGGTGGCTGAGTTACCAGAAGTGGGCCACCGCCTCTGAGTTCCATATCCTTCTTCCTCAGTCCCATGTGGAACCCAAGGATGCAGCCACCCTGCTGAGAGCTTGGTGGCCCACCCTTCAAGACTGTGACCTTGCAACGGTGGCCCTCGGCCCTTCACTTCGGGCAGGGGTGGTGGCTGCCCACCTCCAAGCCCCCAGCCATGACAACCTCCGCGCTCCGTCGCCAAGTGAAGAACATTGTGCACAATTACTCTGAAGCAGAGGTCAAGGTGCGTGAGGCCACCAGCAATGACCCCTGGGGCCCTCCCAGCTCGCTCATGTCGGAGATTGCTGACCTGACCTTCAACACAGTGGCCTTTGCCGAGGTCATGGGCATGCTGTGGCGGCGGCTCAACGACAGTGGCAAGAACTGGCGGCATGTGTACAAGGCACTGACGCTGCTGGACTACCTGCTGAAGACAGGCTCCGAGCGCGTGGCCCACCAGTGCCGCGAGAACCTCTACACCATCCAGACGCTCAAGGACTTCCAGTATGTTGACCGCGACGGCAAGGACCAGGGTGTCAATGTGCGTGAGAAGGTCAAGCAGGTGATGGCCCTGCTCAAGGATGAGGAGCGCCTGCGGCAGGAGCGTGCCCACGCCCTCAAGACCAAGGAGCGCTTGGCACTGGAGGGCATGGCCATTGGCAGCGGGCAGCTGGGCTTCAGCCGCCGTCACGGCGAGGACTACAGCCGCTCGCGAGGTTCCCCGTCCTCCTACAACTGTGAGTGAGCCCTGGGGGGTGTGGCTGGGACAGGGAGCTGGCTGAGTTCCAATCCTGGCTCTGCAACCCCAGGCCAAGGTTAATAATACCCACCCCAGGGGGATGTCATGAGGAGCCAGTGAGCTAAGGGATGTAACATACAAAGCACATGCCTGGCACATAGTAGGTGCTCAACAAGTTAGCTTAACTATTATTACACCTGTTATTATTGTTAATTAGCTGTCTGATAGGATGGCATGGTAGTGGAAGCACAGGCTCTGGAGGCAGATAACATTCTTTATTCTGCCCCTTCCAAGTTGTGTGACCTGGGTAACCAGCTCTCTGAACCTCACTTTCCTCATCTGCAAAATGGGGACAGTCTTACCTGCCTCCATTGTTTGATCTGAGAATTAACTAAAAGCAGGCCCAGGAATGCCCTCAACCCTGTGCCCAGACACATGGCATTCCCCATAGGACCTCCCGCCCCCACTGGAGGGCACTGCCCTTGAAAACAGAGGCACTGCTGGGCAGTTCCCGACTCTCCTTCCTGCAGCGGTGGGGGCTTCCCTGATCTGAGGGCTACTTAGAGTGGCCTTCCTTTCACAAAGCCCTTCATGGTGTGTAGTGGGCTTGGAGGCTGTGACCTTACTTGACTGGAACCCCTTACCCTCCCACTCCACCCCCCTCGGCACCAAGCAGGATGGGGTCCTTTTGGAAGAGTCCAAGAGCTGAGTGAGAGGATCACATTTCAAGTCCTGCTTCAGGACCCTGGCCAGACACCCTCTGAGCTGTCTGAGCATCTGTCAAGGAAGGACTGGAGTCTGCACCACTGGAGTGGAATGGGCACTTACACAATGTGCCCAGCACACTGCCTGGCCCCCGGGGCCCTTAACTGCCAGTCGTTCCCTTCCCCCGCAGTTTCTCTCCTTGAGCCTCAGCTTGCTGGCAGGCAGAGGTGGGCGCCTGTGGGTGCTGCTATGCTCACGCAAGCCACTGTGGTGTTGCAGCCTCCTCCTCATCCCCCCGCTACAACTCTGACCTGGAGCAGGCGCGACCTCAGACGTCAGGAGAAGAGGAGCTGCAGCTGCAGCTGGCCCTGGCCATGAGCCGCGAGGAGGCCGAGAAGGTGAGGCCCGACCGCTGCAGTTCCTGTGTGTGGGCTGGGGAGGGGACAGGAGGAGGGAGAGGGGCCTGTGTGCCCCACAGCCTTGACTCAGGTCCCCTACCCTGGGCCCCAAAGCCCCACTCTTGCTCCCAAGGACAGTGCAGGGCCTGTCTGTGTCCTAGCATCTGTCCCGGGCAGGGACTGCCTCCCCGCCTCCAGTTCTCGTTGGGCCCAGAAAGGGTGGTGTGTAGCTTGGGGTACGTGGTGTGTTTTGGGAGCCTGCTGCCACTTTGTGGAGGGGAGCGAGTGTGTTGATGGACACACTCCTAGGAGACAATGGGATACACTGCATTCCCATCAGCTGTCCTTTTGGGGGGACAGGGAAACCCTTGATGTCATCTTCATTACCGTTATCTCTGTGGATCAGGGAAGACCCAGCAGAAAGCAGCTGGGCCTCACACAGGCTCGGGGAGCTCTCAGGGGATCCAGAAGAAAAAGATCAATTTTCCTGATCTTTAAACTGCATCTCAGATCCAGGCAGGAAGAAGGCCACATCCACACTGCTTTCTGGGGGCAGGCTGCCCACCCATACTCAGGGTGGTCATTTCTGTCTCTCCATCCCCACTTCCCGGCCAGGGCTATGCTGCCTGTCTGGCCCAGGGTGGGAGTACCTGGGCGAAGTTCACCCCTCTCCTTCTCCCTCGCAGCCAATCCCCCCAGCCTCTCACAGGGACGAGGACCTACAGCTGCAGCTGGCTCTGCGCCTGAGCCAGCAGGAGCACGAAAAGGTAGTGGGCTGGGCCTGCTGAGCCCACCTGGGCCCTGGTGCTGCTGCTGCTGGTGGTGGAGGTGCTACACGGGCACTAACAGGCTCTTCCCGCTGTACCTGGTGGTCCCGCTGCTCCTAACCTCTCGGCCGCCTCTCACCCCACACCTCTCCTTGACTCCAGCCTCAGGTGTGCAGGTTCCATCAAGCCCAGCCTGGGCTGCTCATACTCGTCACTCCTTCTGTGCCTTCTGCAGGAGGTGAGGTCCTGGCGGGGAGATGACTCCCCCATGGCCAATGGTGCAGGAGCTGCCATCCGCCGTCGGCAGAACAGAGAGCCTGAGAGAGAAGAGAGAAAGGAGGAGGAGAAGCTGAGAACCAGCGAGGTAGGGAGCAGGCTGGGGTGCAGGGGCTGGATGGGGCCTGGGAGATGAATTGAGTTAGTATTTGTAAAGAGCGTAGAATGGTGCTTGGTACACAGGAAGCACTACTTAAATGTCTATTAAATGAAACTGGGGTTGGGGGGTGTAGCAGCCCCTGGTCCCATACTGTGTGGGTTGGTAACAGAGCTGACAGCAGGCTGGGATGCAAAAGAATCCTGTTCTGAGACCCTTGGGTTTGGGGTCTGGATTTGCTGCCACTTACTCATTTTGACTTGGGTCACGTCGCTCTCTTGGCCTCAGTTTCCTCTTCTGCACAGTAGATGGTTCCAGATCCGACATTCTAGGATTATGTGATTCTGTTGATCAAGACTGGGGGTGGGCTCAGGCACATGGTGCTGTAAACATCTTGGGCTCATATACATACCTTCTGGGAGGGTGAATGGGTGGCGTGCTACCCTCGGGTGCCTCTGTCCCCTTTCTGCCTTGTTCACTGTGGTCAATTTCTAGGACATTGACCTAGGGAGGCAGGGTCATTGTAAAAACTCCGTTTCTGACCTTCCTGCCCGTTTCTGCTGGCCTGGGTGGATCAGCGGCTGCCGAGGAAACACTGCTCCACAACTTGGGGCGCAGAAATGCTCCCACTTCCCTTACAGCCCCGCTCAATCCCCCATCCCCGTCAGCCTGGCACCTTCGCTTCCAGATGCTCCCAGGCTCTCATTCATTCCTTTATCACACGGCGGCCCTGGGGATGATCTTCACAGCAAGAGACAATGTGCATTCGTTCCCATTTTGTTACGCAACAATTATGTGCTAAGCACTTTAGGCAGATAATTTCATTTAATCCTTGCAACAACACTCTGAGGTAGATGATATTATTACTCCCATTCAGGACCGGCTACATCATTTGTGTGGCCCAGGGCAAAGTGAAAATGGGGGTTCCGAGTTCAAAATGGGGGCTGGCCGGAGTGCCGCCTTGTAATACCAAGGTCAAAGGTTCAGTTCCAAGGTCAAGGGTTTGACCAGCTGCCAAAAACCCAAAAACAACTGGGTTAAGAGTTTCAAAACTGGGACCAGCAGAGCATGAAACCGAGCACGAAGCCCTCCCAGTGCGACTGCGCAGGTCTCTCACTCTTGTAATCAACATTGGTCCATGTCATAGGTGAGGAAACTGAGGCTCAGAGAGGTTGAGTGGCATGCCCAAAGTCACAAAGCCAGTGGGTCTGGAATTCAGACAGTCTGGCTCCACAGCCAAGAGCTCTCAGGCTGGGCCCTCGATTTAATTCAGCAAATATTGACTGACCTCTGTGCACAAGTGCTGACCTTGCCTGGGAGGGATCCAGGAACATGCTAAGCCCACACCCTCCAGGAGCTCAGGGCGCAGCAGGGCAGACAAGCCCAGGGCATGTGACAGCAGCCACAGCACCAGCCAGGTGCAGGGCCCCCCCCAGGCTCCCTTTACTGTCACCTCAAATCTGGCTCCTCCCCACCAAGGCTGGGAAGAAACTCACTCTCAGCCATGCAGAGGGAGTCTGACCCCTCCTGGGGGCTAATGTGGGGTCTGAGAAAACAGGGGTAGGGGCAGGGCCTGGTACTTCATCCTGGGGGGCCACCAAAGTCACTCTCACTCCTACTCAGTGCTCCCCAGTCACTGGACCACTGGACACTGATGCAACCTCTGTGTTCAGGGGCTGGCCCTGCAGGCAGCCTTTCAGGGCACTGGAGTCAGTCAAATGGCCTTCCATAAGCCAGAGACACCAAAGTTGGTGGTGGGGACACAATGCCACCCTCCTTCCTGAGGTGGGGGAGGGGAGAAGGAGCTTTGTGTGGAGGGAGGGAGTCATGCTGTGGCTGTTACATACAGGATGGACAAGAGCACCTACTTAAAGAGTCAGACCGCCAGGGTTCAAAACCCTGCTACAAGGTTTGAGATCAGTAATAATAATAATGATCACTTAGTAATAAGTGGTTATGCTCTCTGACCTTGAGTAAATTACTTAACCTCTCTACATCACCACGCCTCTGTTTTCTTACTTGTCAATTGGGATCAAGGGTTCCTTCCTTATGAGGTTGCTGGGTGGATGCTCCCAGGCCAGTTCCACCCTCTTTAGAGACTGACCGTGAGGAATGAACCCACCGTGCCCCTCATTCCTGGTTTTGCCAGGTGGCACCCAGATTCCACCCCCATCCGTCTTCTGCTGCACCCAAACCCAGGAAGGTTCCATTCTTCCTGGTCCCTGGACCACCCTTTGTGCCTCTGCCACCTAGGCCCTCCTCTTCTAAAGTGGCTCTCCGACGAGAGGTCCCAAGGGGAGCTTTGTCTCCCATACTGACACTCCACCTCATTTTTGGGATTCTTTGGTCTTGGCTCATGGTCTTCTTCTCACCCAGATCTTACTGGAGTGAGTTTGATGGAGTTCCATGACTCCATTATCTAAGAGGATGATTTTGCAGCATCTTGACCTCTCAGCTGCCCTTACCCATGGTCACACTCTGGGGCTTGCTGTTACCCCAAATTCTTTCATGTTCAAGGCAGGCTTCCTGTTCTCTGATGTTAACCTAATTCCTTCCCACTGGAGCACTCTTTGGACCCTCCCACCTGCCAATCCTTTGGTCACCCCACCACCCCCACATTCTCAGGATTGCACAGTATCAATGACCTTTCCTCAATACTTTTAGTCTCAACTGAATCCTTCCAGTTGATAGGTGTCTTAATTGGCTTCATTCATCTTGAAGGTCTCTCCATGTTTCCCCTCACGTCTAGCCCCCATCCTCTCTCTCCAGTTCCCTTTTCTTTCCCCTCCCCACCTCCCTCAGCCTGATTTCACTGAAACTACATCCACTGGGCAGCCAGCGGGATCTTTCCAAAATGCAGATCCAACCAGATCACTCTCCTGACTAAAGACCTTCAATAGCTTCCTTCTGCTCTCATCAAAAACTCCTTTCTCTGGGCCGGCCTGTGGCTCACTCGGGAGAGTGTGGTGCTGATAACACCAAGGCCCTGGGTTCGGATCCCATATAGGGATGGCCGGTTCACTCACTGGCTGAGCATGGTGCTGACAACACCAAGTCAAGGGTTAAGATCCCCTTACCGGTCATCTTTAAAAACAAACAAACAAACAAACAAAAAAAAACAAACCCCTTCTTACAGTTCACAAGTCCCTCCAAGATCTGCCCTCCTCCTCAACCTCCTAACCTCATCTACTACCTGTATTTTCTTTGCTCTCTGTCATCCAGCCATGTGAGCCTTCTGCAGTTCCTCAGCCCTGACTTGCTGACATGCCACAGGGCCTTTGCAGACACCGTTCCTTCTGCCTACTTCCCCAGCACTCCCCCCACGCTCCCTGCAACTTCCCTCCTCTCCTTCTCTGTAATTACTACACAAATGTGAGTTCCTCAGGAAAGTCTCTCCCCTTGGCCATCCCACCAGACCGGGTCCCTTGTTATGTTATACCATTTATGGCACCTGTCAAAGTGGGTGCTCCTGTATTTATTTGTGTGGCTGTCAGATTAGCTTCTGTTCCTCTCAATAGTCTGTGAGCAACACGAGGCCAGGAGCCTTGTCTCTGTCTTCCAACAATCGTACAATCAGTGCCCTGCAATGTGGCAGGCAAGGGACACAATAAATATTGGCTAAATGTAGCAAATAAGGCGAGTGTGTAAAGTATATTATAGGCCATAAAACTGACTCACCATTATTATTCAGGAAGACTTTCTGAAATCCCTGGATGGGATTTGAGCAGGACCTTGAGATCGGGAGGCTGGGCAAAGTGGAGCTTGCTAGCTGGTGGATCTGGACAAGCATGCCTTCAGCGTGGGCCTCATTTATCATTTATGAAATGGGCAAGGGTAGGACACAAGGAGCTGGAGCTCTGACATTCCACGGCCCTACCATCCCTCAATCCTCCCCGTGAAAGTTATCCTCCCGTAGGCAGGGGTTTAGTTAAGCCAAACCTAGCCCAATTTTATGCACAGATCCAGGGCCTCCCAAGACTGGGCTGTCCTGTCTGCACTTCCACACTCTGCCACCGGGAGGCACTTGAAGACCAGCCACACGGCTCCGAGTCTCGGGGAAGACCAGCCCGCAGATCTACCGGTTCCCCGGGCCCGCCCCTTGCATCTCCCGCCCTCCCTTCCTGTCCGCGGCGGCCGGGCCCATGGCCACAAGCAGCCATGCTGGGCGCGCGGGCCTGGCTGGGCCGGGGCCTCCTGTTGTCCCGCGCTGGGCAGGGCCTCGCCTCGAGCCGCAGGTATGGGCCGGTGGCTGGTCTTCCCGGCTCTGATCCCCATGCCTGCTTGGATCACACCTGCATGCCTGCTCCATCTCCACCCCTGCTCCGGTCTGCCAGGGCCAGGTCGCAGCAGTAAGGCCCTCCTCCCCTCCCCACCCCTCAGGCTGCCGGGCTAGCTCCCCAGGGACTGTTCTGACACCGCCTCCAGGAAGCCTTCCTTGAACCCCAATGCTGAGCTGGGGGCCCTTCTCCAACAGCACATTGTGTCCTGTCACAGTCCTTTACTACTGCTTGGGCCCATAGGCCACTCTCCCAGGCTGAATTCCCTGAGGTCAGGGTCTCTTTCTGATTTCCTAGGTGTCCTGAGGCTCTGGCACCGACCTGGCCCCACAGAAGTGCTAGTAGGTGGGCACTGAGTGAGAAAGGCCCTTGTGTCTATTTTCCTCTGGTCACCCCTCGCATGGTCCAGTCCCAGACCCGCTCTTCTTGACCTGTCCAGCCACTAGCCGTGGGCAACCTCCCCGCCCCAGTCCTGCACACAGGCATTCCAGAATGACACCACCAGCAAAACCACCCTGGGGAGGGGCCCCCAGGTAGGGGGAGAGAACAGAGCCCAGAGGACCATTCTGCCCATTGTGACCCGCCTTGACCTCACAGCCATCCTTCCCACCGCCAGGTCCGAGAGGTTGGGGGAGACTAACCTGGCAGAGAGCCCCCAATGAGCCACCTCTCTTCACCCCCCCAAAAACATAAGGGGGAGCATAAAGGCCACAGTCTCCCCCGTGGTTCAGAAAGGTGGGTTGGGCTGAGAGCAGGGGTTCCGAGAGAGGTGCTGGTGGGCTGGGTGGGTTGGAGTGCACTCTGGGGTGGGCTGGGGGGAGGTGGATGGAGGCCCTTACCTGCTTGACCCACCTGCCCATGCCAGGGGTAGCTCTTCCCGGGACAAAGACCGAAGTGCGACGGTCAGTAGTTCGGTGTCCATGCCTGCTGGAGGATGGCATCCGGGACCACGTGGGGCAGGTGCAGGGGGCTGGGCACTCCTTGGAGGGGCAGCAGGAGGCCTGGGGTGGAGGTTGAGGCTGGGATTGGCCACAGCTCTGCATCCTGCCTGTCCCAGGGCTTGGGCATCCGGGACCACGTGGGGCAGGTGCAGGGGGCTGGGCACTCCTTGGAGGGGCAGCAGGAGACCTGGGGTGGAGGTTGAGGCTGGGATTGGCCACAGCTCTGCATCCTGCCTGTCCCAGGGCTTTCACCGCTACTCCACGGACCGCCAGTGGCACGTCCCCCACTTCGAGAAGATGCTCTGTGACCAGGCACAGCTTGCAGTGGTCTATTCACAGGCCTTCCAGGTGACCCCAACCCGGAGCAGAGGCACCTAGCCCTGGCTGCCCCTCCCAAGGCCTTCCTGGTGACTGTGGCTTCCCCTAATCCCAACCCCCAATTTCTTCCCATACACCCACAACCCAGGCTTCCCTTCCCATGTACCTAGGCTGCCACAGTGAACTCTACTTACAGCCTCCCTTCTGTGCCCCCTCAGATCTCTGGTGATGAATTCTACTCTGACGTTGCCAAAGGCATCCTGCACTATGTGGCTCGGAGCCTGAGCCACCGGGTGTGTGTCCACTGAGGCGGACAGGCCTGACGGCGGGAGGGCTCGAGGTCTCCCCTGCGCATCAGACCGGGACCAGCCAACTCTCCCCTCCCCACAGTCTGGAGGCTTCTACAGTGCGGAGGATGCAGACTCACCCCCAGAGCGGGGCATGCGGCCCAAAGAGGGTGCCTTCTACTTGTGGACCGTCAAGGAGGTCCAGCAACTCCTCTCTGAGCCTGTGCTGGGCGCCACGGAGCCGCTGACCTCAGGCAAGCTCCTCATGAAGCACTACGGACTCACGGAGGCCGGCAACATCAGCTCCAGTCAGGTGAGGGCCTCTGGGGACGCTGGAGGGGTCCTGGAGCCCCTCAGGCCTGTGGGCTCCCTCCAACAAGGGCTGTTTTCCTCAGGACCCCAAGGCGGAGCTACAGGGCCAGAACGTGCTGACCGTCCGGTACTCGCTGGAGCTGACGGCCGCCCGCTTCGGCTTGGGCGTGGAGGCTGTCCAGACCATGCTCAACACCGGGCTGGAGAAGCTCTCGCAGGCCCGGAAACATCGGCCGAAGCCGCACCTGGACAGCAAGATGCTGGCTGCCTGGAACGGTGCGGCAGCCGTCCCTGTCGGAGGCCCTGTCCTGTTTGTAGAATTACTCTGGGTGTTGAGGAGGATGTACCTGGAGGGTCCTGGCCAGCTTCTCACTGCCACGGTCTCTCCTTCCTCCAGGTCTGATGGTGTCTGGCTATGCTGTGACCGGGGCTGTCCTGGGGCAGGACAGGTTGATCAACTATGCCACCAACGGTGCCAAGTTCCTGAAGCGGCACATGTTTGACGTGGCCAGCGGCCGCCTGATGCGCACCTGCTATGCCGGATCTGGGGGGACCGTGGAGCACAGGTGGGGGGCTGGGCAGCCCGGGAGGGCTCATCTCCCCGCACGTTCCCAGCCCACCTCTGCCTTTTTCCTCCTCTTCAGTGGACGTCCATCCTGGCTCTGCCGTGCCCTTGCTGTGAGCACTTAATCTCCATGGGCCTATTTACTCATCTGGGAAATGGGTTAATGGTGCCTACTCAAGAGGTGGATTTTGAGGGTCAAGTGAAAGAGTGCATGATAAGGGCCCCCTCTGGGAAAGCCCTTCTCTCCCAGGCCTGTCCCTAGCTCCTCCCCTAATGCCTGTCCCTCAGTAACCCGCCCTGCTGGGGCTTCCTGGAGGACTACGCCTTCGTGGTGCGGGGCCTACTGGACCTGTACGAGGCCTCGCAGGAGAGCTCGTGGCTCGAGTGGGCTCTGCGGCTGCAGGACACGCAGGACAGGTTCTTCTGGGACTCCCGGGGCGGTGGCTACTTCTGCAGCGAGGCCGAGCTGGGGGCTGGCTTGCCCCTGCGGCTGAAGGACGGTCAGTGGGGGGTGCGGGCTGGCTCCCTGAGGGAGGCATTAAGTGCAGCGTGGCAGGGAAGGGTGGCATGGGTAGGGGCCCTCCTGGCTTCACATTGCTGCTATGTATGAACCGTGTGACTTAGGGCTGGTCTCATGCTGTTTCTGAGCCTCAGCTTCTTAATATGCAAAATGGAGTTAACATTGGTACAGAATTGATGTAAAGGTTAATTTAGCTGTTCTGTGAACACAGCCTAGTAACTGGCAGCCATGGGTTCATATATTGAACAAAGCCAACTTGGTCTTTGGCCTCAAGAGGCTTACAGTGTAGTAGGGGAGACAACTAATGACAATGACAATGCAAAATTGCATGCACCAACCTGTAGTTAGAATTGTGGTGAGTGCCATGAAGTAGGCACCCTCTACCATGTACCCACCCCTCATCACCCAGGTGTCCTGTCTCCTCCCCGACCGACTCAAAGTCTAGCTCTTCAAAGAGCAGCTCTTTCTCTACGGTCTAGTGCAGTCCTGGCACATAGTAGGTGAATTAATGAAAGTGCCTTGGGAGACAACAGCGGGGGCCCAACTCAGCCCCAGGGGAGATCAGATCAGATGTCTCTGAACCGAGGCCTGGAGGGCAAGAAGGGGCCATGTGGTCATGGAGGAGCTGGGGAGAGAGTTCAGGCAGAGGGGACAGTCTGTGTCCTGGAGGACAGAAGGACAGGGGCCCACGGGTGCGAGGAGGGTGCTGAGGCAGGCGGGGCAAGGAGTGGAAGGCTCTGAGGGTTTTAAGTGGATTGTGACCTGCTCTGGTTTAAGTTGAGGGCGGTCACTCTGACACTGGTGGAGAAGGGATGGGGATAGGTGAAACAGGGTGACCAGTTGGGCGGCATTAGTGGTGTTCAGTCTCAGACAAGGGTACGATACGAGGTGGGGAGAAATGGTGGGATTTGGATCTCTTCTGGCCGCAGCCCCAGCAGGACTCACAGATGGATCAGGAATGGAGGCAGAGGAAGGGACAAGGGTGATGCCACTCTGGCCAGAGCAGCTGGTGGCTGAGAGAGGCATCAGCAGTGGCGTGGGGAGCCCGGACCCCACAGCTCAGCCTGAGGAGGTGGAGTTGAGGGTGTCCGTGGGAGAGCCCGTTTCAGTAACTGCTGAAGTTAGCCTTAAACTCACAGACTGGGGGAGGCGTGGGCTGGACAGGGACCTCTCCATCCCATCCCCCTGGTGGCCCTGGACACTGTCCTGGGGCAGGGTCCTGGGACCCAGTGACCCTCCCTTACCCCTACCCTTGCCTCCCCGTACCGTGCAGACCAGGATGGTGCTGAGCCCAGTGCCAATTCCGTGGCGGCCCACAACCTGCTTCGGTTGCATGGCTTCACGGGCCACAAGGACTGGATGGACAAGTGCGTGCGCCTATTGACCGCATTCTCTGAGCGCATGCGCCGTGTCCCGGTGGCATTGCCCGAGATGGTCCGCGCCCTCTCAGCTCACCAGCAGACCCTCAAGCAGGTAGGGCGTGAAGGCACTTGGGCTGGGACCCTAGGTAGGAGGGGAGCTGGGACTGCAAGGGGGGATGGGAACATGGGGTTCCTGGGGCTGTCCCCAGAGCTCAGGCCTGTGTGTGAGTGCCCGTCACTGGGGTTGTCAGATTATGGGGGAAGGAGGCAGGGGTCCCTGGTGGCTGGTGAAGTGTTTCTCTGTATGTCTCTGTATATCAGTTTAATTGTTCCTGTCCCTGTGTGTTACTGCTGTGTGTGCATTGGGTGTGTATGGCTCTGGAGCTGTGTGTTTGTGTGTCTGTGCACCTGCCTTTCTGGGTGTATGCTGGCTTGAGAGCTTGCCAGTCTGTTTCCTGTCTGCATGTTTACGCCCCGGTCTTCAGGTTTGCTTGCTTGTATTTGCGTGTTTGCATGCATGTGTGTGCTGTTTGTATGTGTGATATCTGACTCTGTGTGGGCACCTGCTGTGTGTGTATGTGACTACTCCGTGGCTGGGTCTCTGTGTGTTGTGTGTCTTCCAGTGTAGTGGGTCTTCTCCCCATGTTTGTATCTCTACCACTATGCATGACACTGCCACTTTGTGTATTCTTCTGTGTGTGTGTGTGTGTGTGTGTGCGTGTTCCCATTTCCTAAGCATTAAATCTGACGCGGCCTCCTGGCAGCTGAGATGAGTGCCCATTCCTTCTTAGGGACATAGGGTGGGGTAGAGGAAGGATGGGGAAGCCCTGATAGGTCTGGGGCCCAGCCCCCACCCTCACCTGACATGGGAGACCTTTCTATACCGGCCAGATCGTGATCTGTGGAGACCGCCAGGCCAAGGACACCAAGGCTCTGGTGCAATGTGTCCATTCCATTTACGTCCCTAACAAGGTACCTATCCCCAGGAGCTCAGCCCCGCCCCTGCCTCCCCTGCGCTGCCTCTCTCCTCGGCTCCCCAACTCTCCTTTCCCTCTGAAGGCTTGGGGAGAGGTAACCTCCCAGTGAGCTCTACTAGTGTCTCAGCACCCCCCCATATGACCCCCTCTGCTCTGCTCCTGCCCCAGGTGCTGATTCTGGCCGATGGGGACCCCTCGAGCTTCCTGTCCCGCCAGCTGCCCTTCCTGAGTACCCTGCGACGGCTGGAAGACCGGGCCACTGCCTATGTGTGTGAGAATCAGGCCTGCTCCATGCCCATCACTGAGCCCTGCGAACTACGAAAACTGCTCCATCAGTGACTTTCCCGACCCCGTTGGGCTGGGGCGGAAGGTGGAGCTTCCCGACTGACCAGATGCTCAGGCCCTGCAGGGCCCTGCAGAACCTGCGGTTATCCCTGAGCACCCTGTCACCAGGTGACCTTGGCCCCCCTCGCTGCCCTGCCATGGGCACCCACTCACCCTGGAATAAACCTAACAGTGTCCCGTGGTAAACTCTGGGCCTCAGCCTCGATTGTGAGGGAGGAGCCTCAGTCTCCAGCCGGGGAAAACAGCCCAGGGCCCCTTCCTCTGGGAGTTGCCAGCTAACCTCTGTGCCTTCTCCCATTCTTCCTTCACCTTCCAGAGGTCACCAGGCTGACCCTGCCCCCCTCTGTGGTCATTGCAGCGGTCATTGCAGCCTGAATGAAGCTAAGGACAGGGGACTAAAACTGAGTAAAGACGCCCAGGGGTGAGGATGGGGGTGTGCACTGGTCCAGGATGGGGAGAGCCCTTCACTGTCAAGAGGGGATAAGAAAGGGAACTGCCCTCTCCCCCATTCTCTCCTCATTTTGAGCTGGGGAAGTAGCAGGATATGCTTTATATGAGCTTTATATCTCACGGAATGGTGACATTTGCATATGCCCTGATGCATTGTGGGAGCTACTGTTATCAGGACTAAGACATTTCTTTTGCAGTATCCGTCCAGCCCCCAGCCTCACCAGGATGGACACAAGGCCTCTGTGCGGGAGGTCACATTGTCCATCCCTCTGCTTTCAGGCAAGCTACTGTGTCCTTGGCACACACATCTTTGCAGGCTCCAGAAAACCCATCTAGCTTCCAGCAGGGGGAGGAGACTGGGAAGCATGCTTTGGGAAGGGCAGGTGTAGAGTGACAGGGCTGACAGGCAGGCAGGGAGGGAGGAGCTGCCCCTCTGGGGCCTTCAGGGGTCTGCTGACCTGGGCATCCTCATAGCCTCCAAGCCAAGCAACACAGATAATCAAAAGAGGCTGCTAGAGACAAGGAGGCCTGGATGGGGCCATTTCTTGTGGGGGGTGTCAGCATGGGGAAGAGTGCAGCAGGAAGGAGCCGGGAGACTGGACAGAGTCACTGCCTGCACATGGTCACACACGGCCACACATGGTCACTGGGACCAGAGTCAGCTCTGTCTGGGCATCCAGGCCCTCGGTGCAAGCCACCGGCCCATCTGGAGGGGATTAGAGCTCCAGCCAACAAGGTCAGCTGGCTCCCTTCTAGCTGGAGCCCACTCAGCCTTGCCAGGAAGTCAGAGCTGGACAAGGGAGATCTGGGGGGCGGCAAGAAGGGAGGGTAGAGCGTGGTGAAATACAGGTGGCCTTTTTGGCAGCCCCAGCCCTGGCTTTCAAACAGTCTGGACAGTTTGCAAAGCCCTCTTGCCACTGTCGTCCAGTGACCCGCATGAATGAAGTGGTGAAGCAGGCACCTTCGGCCTCGTATGGAGAGATACTCAAGGCCCAGAGGGTAAGAGACTGGCCTGAGACCCCTCAGCACATCTGGTTCTCCTGGGTCTTCAGGGTACAATAAAGACTTTCTGTTCCCCCAGGAGGTCCAGGCACAACTGTGAAGGAGGGTGCACTTGGTGTCTTCAGTCTTCTCTCTGCATTGCCTCTTTCCCGTCTCCTGGTGTCGTGCACACACACGACAATGGGATTCTGCATATGGGATCAGGAGTTAGGGCCTTAAAGGGTTAGTTCTCCTGGAGTGTTTGAATTTCTAAAGAGGGCAGAGCTGAACATAAATCTTGCTCAGATGTGAGATTTTGAAAGTCTCTGTAGCACCCATTCCCCGTTGCCAGTCCCTCTTGGGTGTGCTCCCTGCTATGCCAGGAGGATTGTCCTGGAACAGCTGTGGGCCAGGGTCATGGGAGACAGGGCCAATGACCTGTTTAGGCAGTCACTTAAGTAACTTCGTCTCTCCGAGCCTCAACTTCCTTATCTGAAAAATGGAGGCCCCCACCCAGCTCTTGGGGCTGTTGGGTGACTAAATGAGATAATGTTTGTATCATCTGAGCAAAGATTATCACAGATGGGAGGATTATCTCTGCTCCTGAGGCAGCCAGATGGGCTGTGACGAGGGGTAAAGGCAAGAGGGCTGGAGGGAAGGCCACACTGACGAGGTGATGTCAGAGCTGAGCCTTGGAGGGCTGGAGTTAAAGATGGTTTCAGGTCTTCTTTTGCCTTCTCTGTGGGTCCTGCCTCCCCACCCCTCTGCCCCACTCAGGCTAACTGTGATATCTGACTAGACGTCAGAGTCCCCTGGGGCCACTGTACAGGAATCAGGAGGTCTTGGGTGGGAGGCAAAACCCCCAGGCCCCAAACCCAGTGAAGCAGATGTGGATCTCAATTTAATCATATGGTGCGTCCCTGCCCCCCTTTCTGAGTTCATTCTAGAACAGAGTTCAGCCTAGAGACCAGGGGTGGCCTGGATGATGGATGTGGGTGTGGGGCTTGCTCACCACCCAGGAACTTGACCATTGGGCTGGACAAGCATCTCTGGCCTCATTTTCTGCTCTGCAAAGAGGTGATGATGAGAGTGGCTAGACACCACCGTGCCAGCCTTGGGGCCTCTTGATCCTGGCCGGAAGGGCAGGCCGACTCGGCAGACTGCGGACCTGCGGGAGGGAAGGTGTCAGACGCACGGAGCGAACCATAAATAGCGCCCCTCTCCCAGAAGACGGTCCCGAGTTCAAGACTCTAGCGCCTCACGCTCGGAAATGAGATCAGAGACTCCCGCCTGGAGAAAAAGGCACTTAGGGGATCTGCTCGTTAGCATGAAATGCAAATGAGCCCGGCCTCATTTGCAGAACTCGGTACGCCTATTCGGCGAAAGGACAACCGGGGAGGCGACGCCACAGCAGCCGCTCTGCCCTCTCGCCTCCTCCCCCAGCCCCGGGAAGCGGCCGGGCCGGAGCTGAGACGCCCCCGACCCCCGCAGCGGCGGGAGGCGCTCGGGGGCTGCGTGGGTGGCGCAGCCTCGGGAAAGCCAAGAACGCCTGGGAGTCGCAGGGATGCCGAGGTCATCGGGTCTATCCCTGGGCCTCTCCGCAGTGGCGCAAGCGCCCCGAAGTCTCCGGAGAGGGTACTGACCGGCCCACTGGGTTCCGCCGCGCGGACCTCCCGCAGATGTTCCTCGATGCCCGCCCTCCCCGGCGCCCTGCACTCCCTTGTCGCTCCACCCCTGGGTATCCACAGCATTTGGGGGTGGCGGCAGCGGCGGGAGGAAGCTAGAACTTACTGAGCCCCAGAATTCGGGGAGATGAAGCGAGGCAAGGGCCGGGGCCTGCGCGAGCGCGCGCGCTTGAGCAGCACAGACCCGTGAGGACCGGCCCCCGCCGGGGTGGAGGGGAGCAAGGCGAGCAGCCCCGCGAAGCTCCTGTCCCGCAGCCATACCGAGACTAGAGAGGAAAACTGAGGCACGGTGTGGGGGGGCTGGTGGGCCTTTGCAGGTTAAAGGGTAAAGCCCGGCTCTGTGCTTCCACCCCCTCCCACGTACTCGAGGCCCAGAAGGTCCCTTCTCAGGGGGTCCTTGCTCCGCTCCGCAGCCGCTCATGGGGTTCTGCGGTCGTGTGCAACCTGCCTGGCGCCATGTGTTCATGAGCACGAAGCCCTGGCGCGGAGTTCACACCCTTGAAAGGCTCTCTAGGGGCAGCGGATGAAGCTCCGGAGGGTCAACGTGAGGTCAAGGCCAGCGGGTTAGGGTTAGGAGGTCAGGGTCAAAGTCTCAGAAGTCGACCTGGGAGCAGGACCAATGAGCCCCAGAGGTTGGTGGAGGCCACGCCCAGACCATGCCTACCCCAGCCTCTCCCTGGCTCCGCCTGTTTCCCCAAGACGAGCCCCCTGCAGCCCGAAGCCCCACCCCCAGGACATCCTGCCCCGCTCCTCCCCTTCCCCAGTCCGCTCCCAGGCTCAGCTCCAGGGTGGGCGACTAACCAGGTGGAGACCCAGGAGTTCGCTGTGGCCACACACCCCCCTCCGTGCCGCCGGCCTCCCTTCGTCTCCGGGCCCTCCCCAGAGCTGAGCTCCGCCCTCCGGCTGCGGTCCAATTCAGGGGTCATGGACAAAGGATGCCCGGGGCCTGCGGCCATACTCCAGTACCCGGAGCAGAATACTCTGATTCCCCGGGGCTCCCTCCAGGGGAGTCCCAAAGACCCAAGTGGCCAATAGGAAAGTGGGTTCGGTCTGGGCTGCCGTCTGATTGGTTCCAGCTTTCGGGAGCGGGCCCAGGGGCAAGGGGAGGGGAGAGGGGCGGTCCTGGGATTGGGGTGGGAACCAGATTCCAGCTGTGGTTCTCTCCCCCCGCGACCCCACCCGCACTGCCACGGCGGCTGGCCAATGGGCGCGCGGCTCGGGGCCGGCGGCGCGCGGCGATTGGCTGCGAGGCTGGCGGGGGAGAGGCGGGGCCGAGGCTTGAAGTTGGAGTGAGGGTTCCAGCTGTGGTGTGCGCCGGGCTCCTCGCCGCCGCTTGCGCTCGCTCGCTCCGCGTCTCGGCCGGAGGGCTGGAGGGAAGGCCACACTGACGAGGTGATGTCAGAGCTGAGCCTTGGAGGGCTGGAGTTAAAGATGGTTTCAGGTCTTCTTTTGCCTTCTCTGTGGGTCCTGCCTCCCCACCCCTCTGCCCCACTCAGGCTAACTGTGATATCTGACTAGACGTCAGAGTCCCCTGGGGCCACTGTACAGGAATCAGGAGGTCTTGGGTGGGAGGCAAAACCCCCAGGCCCCAAACCCAGTGAAGCAGATGTGGATCTCAATTTAATCATATGGTGCGTCCCTGCCCCCCTTTCTGAGTTCATTCTAGAACAGAGTTCAGCCTAGAGACCAGGGGTGGCCTGGATGATGGATGTGGGTGTGGGGCTTGCTCACCACCCAGGAACTTGACCATTGGGCTGGACAAGCATCTCTGGCCTCATTTTCTGCTCTGCAAAGAGGTGATGATGAGAGTGGCTAGACACCACCGTGCCAGCCTTGGGGCCTCTTGATCCTGGCCGGAAGGGCAGGCCGACTCGGCAGACTGCGGACCTGCGGGAGGGAAGGTGTCAGACGCACGGAGCGAACCATAAATAGCGCCCCTCTCCCAGAAGACGGTCCCGAGTTCAAGACTCTAGCGCCTCACGCTCGGAAATGAGATCAGAGACTCCCGCCTGGAGAAAAAGGCACTTAGGGGATCTGCTCGTTAGCATGAAATGCAAATGAGCCCGGCCT